GACAGCACAGTGTTTACCTTCTCCGACAGTGTGGTGGATGATGTTATCATCAACATTAAGGCCGTCTGTTCCAAAAACGCCGACGGCCGGAGAGAAGCCGTCGTGGAAAGCGCAGCCCTGAATGTATGACTCTTTTTCTGTCACCTTTCACCACAGAAAAAAAAACCCCAACAGATTTAACAGATACTTTCGTCTCATTAAACAACAAAAGCAGCAGTTTTGTTTAAATAAACTTCTGCTACAAGATATAAAAAAGCATATTTGCTATGATCAGGCAGTTGCTGGGAAAGATGCTGTGTATACGTGCGTGTGGGCTGCACCTCTCCCAGATTGAGGAAGGCCACAGAGTAGCGTGGGTCGCTGTAGTCAGTCCAGCCTTCCTGGCCAGAGTGGTAGAACTCCACGTTCCTGATCTGAGCTTTGCCTTCAGAACAAAATTGCAAATTATGATGACAGAAAGTCTGAGAGTCATCCTCGTGACTGATATCCATTCATCTACAAACATTAACTGTTGTAAGCTCCCATCTTTCATGCTATACATGCAGTGTTTTGCACTTAAAGCCATTCACAACAATCACCATTCCTTTAATGGTTGTGATTGTTTCTGCTGAGTCTGTAACACTGCATATTATGTAGTGTCTGTTTTATTAATGTGTTTCTGTCCAGTTTGTCTCCTTATTATCTGGCTTAAAGTCTGTTTATACTGAAACATTTCCCCTCCCTCTGTCAGTGTCACTACTACACTCCATCACTGACTGCTGTTTCAACCCCTTCTCCACCACAGCATCCTACGTCTTCAGGGCGATGTCTTTTTTTTTTACCTTTATAGTTGATTCCCTGCCAGGAGTAGGTGCCGACGAGCAGCCTTGCTCCAAACGAGTCTTGCATCATAGTTGGATAATCCTGACCGATGATCTTGATGTTTCTGGTCAGGAGACCAACATCAGCTGCCAGAGTGTAGGAGAAAGTCGTACTTGACACAGAGTTAGTCCCACCTGTGGACAGAAGATGACGCAGACATTTCAGTGTTTGATGGCGCGTTGCTTTGGAAGCATCAGTCAATAACTGAGGTGGTTCCTTAGTAGTAAGAAGACAGCCAGCGGGTCTATATTACAGGTTTGCTTATAATGTTTTTTCCCCTCATTAATACACCTTAAAGTTAAATTCTTACAGCTTCAACACATACAGATAAAGGCTTTTTATTTCATTTCATTTCATATAATCAGACCTAACAAATCCTTTCAGCTGATGTAAAAGAAACACCAGAACAATAACTTCAAGTCCTGAGCTACGACTCACCAATATGAGTGTGGGTCAAAGGCTGGTTCAGGGTCAGGACGAAGCCATCCGCTGACACGGCAGTGATCTGACGTTTTTCCGTCTCCCATGTGGTGTAGCTGCTGGTGGAGATTACAACCTCGTCTCCAACCTGAAGCAGGCGTGTCAAAAAGTGAACACTTCCAATGAGAAGTAATTAGAGTAAAGGTACTCGACAATCTGGTAGAAGGAGAATAAATTGATTTCGTTGCTCAAGGAATACAAATTCAGGACTTTAGTTGGATGTTATACAATCAGCTTTCAACACCCAACACGTGAATGCAGTACGTAATATAAAA